GGTCCAGTCCGGGTAGTTCGGTCACATGATCCCAGCTCATAGTTCTAATTGGTGGTTAATCTGGTAGCCTGCCCTGGTAGTCCAGCCCAGTAATCCAGCCCGGGATTTCAGTCCGGCAGTCCAGACATTGTAATCCAGTCCAGGTAGTCCATGCCGGTTGTTAAGTTCCATAGTCCAGCCCGGGATTTCAGTCCGGCAGTCCAGACATTGTAGTCCGGTCCAGGTAGTCCATGCCGGTTGTTACGTCCTGAAGTCCAGCCCAGAGGTCCAGTCTGTAGCCCAATGGTAGTCCGGTCCAGGTAGTCCATGCCGGACCTTAAGTTCCGAAGTCCAGCTCCGGTATTTAAATCCGGTAGTCCAGACATTGTAGTCTGGTCCAGGTAGTCCATGCTGGTTTTTACTTCCTGAAGTCCAGCCCAGAGGTTCAGTCCGGTAGTCCAATGGTAGTCCGGTCCAGGTAGTCCATGCCGGTTGTTACGTCCCGAAGTCCAGCTCCGATAGTCCAGTCCGGTAGCCCAATGGTAGTCCGGTCCAGCTAGTCCATGCCGGTTGTTAAGTTCCATAGTCCAGTCCGGTAAAATTCAACCTTGGCACTCCAATTGAGGTGATCCAGAGGTCGCAAACGGGTTTTGACTCCTTACTCGTACCCGGCTGCACCAGGGTCGCAAACGGGTACACGTACCTGTACCCGGCTGTACCCGTACCCTACACGTACCCGGCCGGGTACGGGTAGGGTACGGGTATCGGGTACCTGATTGCGACCTCTGGGATGAAGCCACGTTGCAGGCGCGGGTGGGTTGATTCTAGGAACTTGAATTGTGAGAAGAGACAAGACGTTGGGAAATGAGTGACAAACGGTGACTCACCAGTGACTCACGGCCTACCCGTACCCGTACCCGGTCGCACCAGGGTCACAAACAGATACCCGTACCCGGCTGGGTACGGGTAGCCGGGTATCGGGTAGGGTACGGGTATCGGGTACCCGGTTGCGACCTCTGAGGTGGTCCCAGCTGTCAGCTATCACCGGTGGGTCGCGCTGGCAGTTCAGACGCTGGTGGCTCACCCCGGTAGTCCACCCCGGTAGTTCCACACCACTTGGCAACTCCAAAAGTCGAGCACGGTAGTTGTGTTTCATTTCTCACTCCTTTGGTTTTGGTAGTTTTGATGGTTCAGTTTTGGTAGTTTTGGTGGTTCGGTTTTGGTAGTTTTGGTGGTTCGGTTTTGGTAGTTTTGGTGGTTCGATTTTGGTGGTTTTGGTGGTTCGGATTTGGTAGTTTTGGTGGTTCGGTTTTGGTAGTTTTGGTGGTTTGGTTTTGGTGGTTTTGGTGGTTCGGTTTTGGCAGTTTTGGGGGTTCGGTTTTGGTGGTTTTGGTGGTTTGGTTTTGGTAGTTTTGGTGGTTCGGTTTTGGTAGTTTTGGGGGTTCGGTTTTGGTAGTTTTGGTGGTTCGGTTTTGGTAGTTTTGGTGGTTCGGTTTTGGTAGTTTTGGGGGTTCGGTTTTGGTGGTTTTGGTGGTTCGGATTTGGTAGTTTTGGTGGTTCGGTTTTGGTAGTTTTGGGGGTTCGGTTTTGGTAGTTTTGGGGGTTCGGTTTTGGTAGTTTTGGTGGTTCGGTTTTGGTAGTTTTGGTGGTTCGGTTTTGGTAGTTTTGGGGGTTCGGTTTTGGTGGTTTTGGTGGTTCGGATTTGGTAGTTTTGGTGGTTCGGTTTTGGTAGTTTTGGTGGTTTGGTTTTGGTGGTTTTGGTGGTTCGGTTTTGGTAGTTTTGGTTGGTTCGGTTTTGGTGGTTTTGGTGGTTCGGTTTTGGTAGTTTTGGGGGTTCGGTTTTGGTGGTTTTGGTGGTTCGGTTTTGGTAGTTTTGGAGGTTCGGTTTTGGTGGTTTTGGTGGTTCGGTTTTGGTAGTTTTGGGGGTTCGGTTTTGGTAGTTTTGGTGGTTCGGTTTTGGTAGTTTTGGGGGTTCGGTTTTGGTGGTTTTGGTGGTTCGGTTTTCGTAGTTTTGGTGGTTCAGTTTTGGTAGTTTTGGTGGTTTTGGGGGTTCGGTTTTGGTGGTTTTGGGGGTTCGGTTTTAGTAGTTTTGGTGGTTCAGTTTTGGTAGTTTTGGGGGTTCAGTTTTGGTAGTTTTGGGGGTTCGGTTTTGGTAGTTTTGGGGGTTCGGTTTTGGTAGTTTTGGGGGTTCGGTTTTGGTAGTTTTGGGGGTTCGGTTTTGGTGGTTCGGTTTTGGTATCTCGGTCCGGCAAAAACTCATCCCGCATGTCACCAGCTAATCGTTGATTCAGTCGTTGAGCCGTCCGGTAGTTCTCTCTGGTGGTGATACGCCCCCTCCCCCCCCCCTTCGTGGTACCCTCTGTGGTAGTCCCCTGTGGTAGTCCCCTGTGGTAGTCCCCCCCCCAGTACCTTCCTCTGCGGTCCGCCTAGGGGTAGTCCCCCCCCCCGCCCACTCACTTCTTCCCCTGCCGCAGGTGTAGAGGCAGCAGGGCGGTGCGAGCTTGCCCCGTCGCCCCCCCGCCGCCGGCTGTAGCCACTGCCCCACCCACGCCGGCGGTGACCTCGGCGCGCACCATGTGCCTGAGCCGGTCGGACGTGGGCAGCACTGCCACCTTGGTAGTGCACAAGGAGCCACCGCCATCGCCACCACCGCCGCCACTGCCACCACCACCACCACCGCCACCAGCCCTCACAAACGCCCGCTTGGCTTTGCGGGGCGGTGCCGGTTTGGCGGCAACCGTCGACAGCAACGCGGCACCACCGCCGGTACCGCCGCCCTGTGCCACCGCACCGCCCGCCCACCTCCGCCGGTGGCCACCGCCACCACCGCCACCACCGCCACCACCGTCACCACCACCGCCACCGCCACCACCGTCACCACCGACACCACCGTCACCACCAACGCCGCCGCCCGGCAGAGGCACGTCATAGACAGCGCCGCCGCCGTGCAACCACGACAGCTTGGGCTTGGTGGTGGGGTCCGGCGGCTGCGGTGGTGGTGGAGTTGCCGGGGTTGCCGGCGGCGACGGCGGCGGCGGCGGCGTCGGCAGCTCGCGGTGCCGGGAGGAGGCGCGCCCGGCACGCCCCCCCGTCCTGCCGCGCCGCGCCGAGGGCGGGGTGGTAGCGGTGGTAGCGGTGGGAGCGGTAGTGCCGGTGGTGGTAGCGGTGGTGGTACCGGTAGTGCCGGGCGGGTGCACGTGGGCATACACGGCTGGCACCTTCGTGTGCGCCTCCGATAGCATCGAGTAGTCCGCGGTTGCTGCTGCTGTTGTTGTTGTTGTTGTCGTGGCGATCGTTGTTACTGGTGAGCTACCGGTGGTGGTGGCGGTGGTGGTTGTGGGTAGCTCGGTGGACGGGCGGGGCGGGGTGCCCACCGCAGGCCCTGCGGAGTCCGAGTCAGAGTCCGGATCCAGCTCCGGCTCCAGTTCCGGGATTTCTGCCATCTCTGAGCCTCGCGCGCTCCCTTAGGGGTGGGTGGGTGAGTGGGTGAGTGAGTGGGTGGGTGAGTGGGTTGGTCAGTGGGTGAGTTAGTGAGTGGGTTGGTGAGCGGGTGAGTGGGTGGGTGGGTGAGTGAGTGAGTGAGTGAGTGGGTGGGTGGGCGAGTGGGTGGGTGAGTGGGTGGGTGGGTGAGTGGGTGAGTGGGTGGGTGGGTGGGCGAGTGGGCGGATGGGTGAGTGAGCGGATGGGTGAGTGAGTGGGTGGGTGAGTGAGTGGGTGGGTGAGTGAGTGGGTGGGTGAGTGGGGTGGAGTGAGTGGGTGGGTTAATGAGAGAGTGAGATGATGATTATGATGATGACGCTTCTGCTGCTGATGATGCTGCTGATGGTGATGATGCCGATGGTAGTGATGGTGGTGATGGTGGTGATGATGCTCTTCATTATGATGGCGGTGGTCATGGTGGCGATAGTGGCAATAGTGGTATTTAGATTGGCCTTTCCCCTCATGGCGTCTGTGACCACCACAGCAGCCAAATGGGGGCTCTGGACAGGTGCGAGGGGCTGGTAACCCCTCCACCTTCAATTAATTACCACTAAACCACGACTTCAATATGTAACTAATAAGCTTGTGCCGGAGGCCCCGGGGGGACAGGCGTCTATGGCGTCTCCTGGCCAAACCCCAATTGGCGGAGCCAGGAGATTGAATCTTTACCCTCGGGGCTCCTCCAGAAACAACAAAAAGACACTTCGTGTGGCCACGTCGAATGTTCGAACGCTCACTGAGGAGGAGAGGCTGCCACTCTACTACTGGGCAGTTGGAGGCAGTCGCCCTCCAACAACAACGGAGCGACGCTCACAACAACGAGCGGAGCGCCGGGTGGCTAAAGCACAGCAAGTTGGCACAGTAGGGGGCACAGGTGGTGCATCAGCCAGTCATCTTAGTCAGTCGACCCGTGGCACCTGCTGGGTTTGCCCCATGACCTCCTGCCAGCCGGAGTTCGACACTTCACGTGGCCTCAATGTGCATGCCTGGGGAATGGCAGTTGTTGGTGGTGATGATGGTGGTGATGGTGGTGATGATGGTGGTGATGGTGGCGATGGTGGCGATGGTGGTGATAGTGGTGGTGGTAGTGGTGATGATGGTGATGATGATGGTGGTGGTGATGGTGGTGATGGTGGCGATGGTGGTGATGATGGTGATGATGGTGGTGATGGTGGTGGTGATGGTGGCGATGGTGGCGATGGTGGTGATAGTGGTGGTGGTGATGGTGATGATGGTGATTACGGTGATAATGATGGTGGTGATGGTGATGATGGTGATCATGACGGTAATGATGGTGATGGTGATGATGGTGATAATGATGGTGGTGATGGTGATGATGGTGATAATGATGGTGATGATGGTGATGGTGATGATGTTGGTGGTGGTGATGACGGTGATGGTGGTGTTGATAGTGGTGGTGATGGTGGTGGTGATGATAGTGGAGGTGATGGTTGTGGTGATGATGATGATGGTGGTGATGATGACGGTGATGGTGGTGATAGTGGTGGTGATGATGATGGATGTGGTGATGATGGTGGTGATGGTGGTGATGACGACGGTGATGATGGTGATGGTGATGATGTGATGGTGATGATGATGGTGATGATGATGATGGTGATGATGGTGATGATGATGATGTGATGATAGTGGTGGTGATGTAATGATGATGATGTGATGGTGATGATGGTGATGATGATGATGGTGATGATGATGATGACAGTGATGATGATGATGATGGTGATGATGATGTGATGATGATGGTGATGATGATGATGGTGGTGATGATGATGGTGATGATGTTGATGGTGATGACGATGGTGATGATGATGGTGATGATGGCTGTAGTGATGGTGGTGATGATGTGATGATGGTGATGACAGTGATGATGATGTTGGTGATGATGATGGTGATGATGACAGTGATGATGTGATGATGATGATGATGGTGACGATGATGGTGATGATGGTGGTGGTGACGATGATGATGGCGGTGATGGTGATGATAATGACGGTGATGATGGTGATGATGGTGATGATGGTGATGGTGATGATGGTGATGATGTGATGATGACAGTGATGATGATGTTGGTGATGATGATGGTGATGATGACAGTGATGATGTGATGATGATGATGATGATGGTGACGATGATGGTGATGATGGTGATGATGGTGATGATGATGGTGATGATGTGATGATGGTGATGATGGTGATGATGATGATGATGATGGTGGTGATGATGATGGTGGCGGCACCTTCGGGGATGCAGTAGACGGGGCCGTCCTCCACCGTGTCGAAGGATGAGAAGGAGTCCACCGAGGTCCATGAGGGTGACGGCTGCTCCACAAAGCTGCAGTGGTACGTGTTGTCCACCTCGTGTGTGTTCACTGTGGAGACACGGTGGGTGGGTGAGGGGGTGGGTGGGTGAGTGGGTGGGTGAGTGGGTGGGTGGGTGAGTGGGTGGGTGAGTGGGTGTGTGGGTGAGTGGGTGTTGTCCACCTCGTGTGTGTTCACTGTGGAGACACGGTGGGTGAGTGGGCGAGTGGGTGAGTGGGTGGGTGAGTGGGTGGGTGGGTGGGTGAGTGGGTGGGTGAGTGGGTGGGTGAGTGGGGTGGGTGAGTGGGTGAGTGGGTGAGTGAGTGCGTGAGTGAGTGGGAGGGTGAGTGGGCGGGTGGGTGAGTGGGTGAGTGGGTGGGTGAGTTGGTGAGTGAGTGGGTGAGTGGGTGGGTGGGTGAGTGGGTGGGTGAGTGGGTGGGTGGGTGGGTGAGTGGGTGTTGTCCACCTCGTGTGTGTTCACTGTGGAGACACGGTGGGTGGGTGAGTGGGTGGGTGAGTGAGTGTGTGGGTGGGTGAGTGGGTGGGTGTGTGGGTGGGTGAGTGAGTGGGTGAGTAGGTGGGTGAGTGGGTGAGTGTGTGGGTGAGTGAGTGTATGAGTGAGTAAGTAAGTGAGTGAGTGTATGAGTGAGTGAGTGAGTGTATGAGTGAGTGAGTGAGTAAGTGAGTGAGTGTATGAGTGAGTAAGTAAGTGAGTGGGTGAGTGGGTGGGTGGGTGAGTGGGTGGGTGGGTGAGTGAGTGAGTGAGTGGGTGGGTGGGTGGGTGAGTGAGTGGGTGGGTGAGTGGGTGGGTGAGTGGGTGTGTGGGTGAGTGGGTGTTGTCCACCTCGTGTGTGTTCACTGTGGAGACACGGTGGGTGGGTGAGTGGGTGGGTGAGTGTGTGGGTGGGTGAGTGGGTGAGTGGGTGGGTATGTGGGTGGGTGAGTGGGTGGGTGAGTGGGTGAGTGTATGAGTGAGTGAGTGTATGAGTGAGTGAGTGTATGAGTGAGTGAGTAAGTGAGTGAGTGTATGAGTGAGTGTATGAGTGTGTGAGTGTATGAGTGAGTGAGTGTATGAGTGAGTGAGTAAGTGTGTGAGTGTATGAGTGAGTGTAAGAGTGTGTGAGTGTATGAGTGAGTGAGTAAGTGTGAGTGTATGAGTGAGTGAGTGTATGAGTGAGTGAATGAGTGAGTGTATGAGTGAGTGTATGAGTGTGTGAGTGTATGAGTGAGTGAGTAAGTGTGTGAGTGTATGAGTGAGTGAGTGTATGAGTGAGTGAGTGTATGAGTGAGTGAGTAAGTGTGAGTGTATGAGTGAGTGAGTGTATGAGTGAGTGAATGAGTGAGTGTATGAGTGAGTGTATGAGTGTGTGAGTGTATGAGTGAGTGAGTAAGTGTGTGAGTGTATGAGTGAGTGAGTGTATGAGTGAGTGAGTAAGTGTGTGAGTGTATGAGTGAGTGTATGAGTGTGTGAGTGTATGAGTGAGTGAGTAAGTGTGAGTGTATGAGTGAGTGAGTGTATGAGTGAGTGAATGAGTGAGTGTATGAGTGAGTGTATGAGTGAGTGAGTGTATGAGTGAGTGAGTAAGTGTGTGAGTGTATGAGTGAGTGTATGAGTGTGTGAGTGTATGAGTGAGTGAGTAAGTGTGAGTGTATGAGTGAGTGAGTGTATGAGTGAGTGTATGAGTGAGTGTATGAGTGTGTGAGTGTATGAGTGAGTGAGTAAGTGTGTGAGTGTATGAGTGAGTGAGTGTATGAGTGTGTGAGTGTATGAGCGAGTGAGTGAGTGTGCGAGTGGGTGAGTGTATGAGTGAGTGAGCGAGTGTGTGGTAAGTGAGTGAGTGTGCGAGTGGGTGAGTGTATGAGTGAGCGAGTGTATGAGTGAGTGTATGAGTGAGTGAGTGTATGAGTAAGTGAGTGAGTGATTAAGTGAGTGGGTGAGTGTATGAGCGAGCGAGTGAGTGTGTGGTGAGTGAGTGTATGAGTGAGTGAGTGTACGAGCGAGTGAGTGAGCGAGTGAGTGTATGAGTGAGCGAGTGTATGAGTGAGTGTATGAGTGAGTGTACGAGCGTGCGAGTGAGTGAGTGTGTGGTGAGTGAGTGTATGAGTGAGTGAGTGTACGAGCGAGTGAGTGAGCGAGTGAGTGTATGAGTGAGCGAGTGTATGAGTGAGTGTATGAGTGAGTGTACGAGCGTGCGAGTGAGTGAGTGTATGAGTGAGTGAGTGTATGAGTGAGTGTGTGGTGAGTGAGTATGTGGTGAGTGAGTGTATGAGTGAGTGAGTGTATGAGTGAGTATGTGGTGAGTGAGTGTATGAGTGAGAGAGTGTATGAGTGAGTATGTGGTGAGTGAGTGTATGAGTGAGTGAGTGTATGAGTGAGTGTGTGGTGAGTGAGTATGTGGTGAGTGAGTGTATGAGTGAGTGAGTGTATGAGTGAGTGTGTGGTGAGTGAGTATGTGGTGAGTGAGTGTATGAGTGAGTGTACGAGCGTGCGAGTGAGTGAGTGTATGAGTGAGTGTATGAGTGAGTGAGTGTATGAGCGAGTGAGTGAGTGAGTGTACGAGCGAGTGAGTGAGCGAGTGAGTGTATGAGTGAGCGAGTGTATGAGTGAGTGTATGAGTGAGTGTACGAGCGTGCGAGTGAGTGAGTGTGTGGTGAGTGAGTGACAATGTAGTTGTATCCGTGCGGTGTTACCGGTGACTTTGGGTAGCTTCTGGTTGTTGAGTCCCAGCCGGGGAAGTTTGGAGCCGATCTGACTCAGAGTGCCCCTCACCCGGCGCTGGACTCGCTGCACTCCGCGCTCAGACACGCGCGGCCTGCACACACCAACACCGCACCAACACCGCACCAACACCGCACCACACTCACTACACTACACTCACTATACTATACTACACACACACCGCACCAACACCGCACTCACTATACTACACAAACTACACTACACACACCACACTCACTATACTACACACACTATACTACACACACCACACTCACTATACTACACAAACTACACTACACACACCACACTCACTATACTACACACACTATACTACACACACCACACTCACTATACTACACACACCACACTACCTATACTACACACACTACACTACACACACCACACTCACTACACTACACACACCACACTCACTACACTACACACACCGCACCCACCAACCCCGCACCAACACCGCACCAACACTCACTACACTACACTCACTATACTACACATACTACACACACTACACACACTACACACCACACTACACTACACACTACACTACACACACTACACTACACACACTACACACACTACACTACACACACTACACACTACACTACACTACACACACCACACACACTACATACTACACACACTACACACACCACACACACTACATACTACACACACTACACACTACACTACACACACTACACTACACACACCACACACACTACATACTACACACACTACACACTACACTACACACACTACACACTACACACACTACACACTACACTACACACACACTACACACTACACTACACACACTACACACACTACACACTACACTACACACACTACACACACTACATACTACACACACTACACACTACACTACACACACTACACACTACACACACCACACTACACACACCGCACTACACACACTACACGCACCACACTACACTACACACAACGCACCACACACACCACACTACACACACCACACTACACACCACCCTACACACCACACTACACACACCGCGAGATGCCAGTGTGTGTGTGAGGTGCCAGTGAGTGTGTGAGTGTGTGAGGTACCAGTGAGTGTGTGTGTGAGGTGCCAGTGAGTGAGTGTGTGTGTGAGGTACCAGTGAGTGTGTGTGAGGTACCAGTGAGTGAGTGTGTGTGTGAGGTACCAGTGAGTGTGTGTGTGTGTGAGGTGCCAGTGTGTGTGTGTGTGTGTGAGGTGCCAGTGAGTGTGTGTGTGTGTGAGGTGCCAGTGAGTGTGTGTGTGTGTGAGGTACCAGTGAGTGTGTGTGTGTGTGAGGTACCAGTGAGTGAGTGTGTGTGTGAGGTACCAGTGAGTGAGTGTGTGTGTGAGGTGCCAGTGAGTGAGTGTGTGTGTGAGGTTACCAGTGAGTGTGTGTGTGTGTGAGGTACCAGTGAGTGAGTGTGTGTGTGAGGTACCAGTGAGTGAGTGTGTGTGTGAGGTACCAGTGAGTGAGTGTGTGTGTGAGGTGCCAGTGAGTGAGTGTGTGTGTGAGGTACCAGTGAGTGAGTGTGTGTGTGAGGTACCAGTGAGTGAGTGTGTGTGTGAGGTACAGTGAGTGTGTGTGTGTGAGGTGCCAGTGAGTGAGTGTGTGTGTGAGGTGCCAGTGAGTGAGTGTGTGTGTGAGGTGCCAGTGAGTGAGTGTGTGAGGTGCCAGTGAGTGAGTGTGTGTGTGAGGTACCAGTGAGTGAGTGTGTGTGTGTGTGAGGTACCAGTGAGTGTGTGTGTGTGAGGTACCAGTGAGTGTGTGTGTGTGTGAGGTGCCAGTGAGTGTGTGTGTGTGTGAGGTGCCAGTGAGTGTGTGTGTGTGTGAGGTGCCAGTGAGTGAGTGTGTGTGTGAGGTACCAGTGAGTGAGTGTGAGTGTGTGGTGCCAGTGAGTGAGTGTGTGTGTGAGGTGCCAGTGAGTGTGTGTGTGAGGTACCAGTGAGTGTGTGTGTGTGTGAGGTACCAGTGTGTGTGTGTGAGGTGCCAGTGAGTGTGTGTGTGAGGTACCAGTGAGTGTGTGTGTGTGTGAGGTGCCAGTGAGTGTGTGTGTGTGTGAGGTGCCAGTGAGTGTGTGTGTGAGGTACCAGTGAGTGAGTGTGTGTGTGAGGTACCAGTGAGTGTGTGTGTGTGTGAGGTGCCAGTGAGTGTGTGTGTGAGGTACCAGTGAGTGTGTGTGTGTGTGAGGTGACAGTGAGTGTGTGTGTGTGTGAGGTACCAGTGAGTGTGTGTGTGTGTGAGGTGCCAGTGAGTGTGTGTGTGAGGTACCAGTGAGTGTGTGTGTGTGTGAGGTGCCAGTGAGTGTGTGTGTGTGTGAGGTACCAGTGAGTGTGTGTGTGTGTGAGGTGCCAGTGAGTGTGTGTGTGTGTGAGGTGCCAGTGAGTGTGTGTGTGTGTGAGGTGCCAGTGAGTGTGTGTGTGTGTGAGGTACCAGTGAGTGAGTGTGAGTGTGTGGTGCCAGTGAGTGAGTGTGTGTGTGAGGTACCAGTGAGTGAGTGTGAGTGTGAGGTGCCAGTGAGTGAGTGTGTGTGTGAGGTACCAGTGAGTGAGTGTGTGTGTGAGGTGCCAGTGAGTGAGTGTGTGTGTGAGGTGCCAGTGAGTGAGTGTGTGTGTGAGGTACCAGTGAGTGAGTGTGAGTGTGTGGTGCCAGTGAGTGAGTGTGTGTGTGAGGTACCAGTGAGTGAGTGTGAGTGTGTGGTGCCAGTGAGTGAGTGTGTGTGTGAGGTGCCAGTGAGTGTGTGTGTGTGTGAGGTGCCAGTGAGTGTGTGTGTGTGTGAGGTACCAGTGAGTGTGTGTGTGTGTGAGGTGCCAGTGAGTGTGTGTGTGTGTGAGGTGCCAGTGAGTGTGTGTGTGTGTGAGGTACCAGTGAGTGTGTGTGTGTGTGAGGTGCCAGTGAGTGTGTGTGTGTGTGAGGTGCCAGTGAGTGTGTGTGTGTGTGAGGTGCCAGTGAGTGAGTGTGTGTGTGAGGTGCCAGTGAGTGAGTGTGTGTGTGAGGTACCAGTGAGTGTGTGTGTGAGGTACCAGTGAGTGAGTGTGTGTGTGTGTGAGGTACCAGTGTGAGTGTGTGTGAGGTACCAGTGAGTGAGTGTGTGTGTGAGGTACCAGTGAGTGAGTGTGTGTGTGAGGTACCAGTGAGTGTGTGGTGTGTGTGAGGTACCAGTGAGTGTGTGTGAGGTACCAGTGAGTGTGTGTGTGTGTGAGGTACCAGTGAGTGAGTGTGTGTGTGAGGTACCAGTGAGTGTGTGTGTGAGGTACCAGTGAGTGTGTGTGTGTGGTACCAGTGAGTGAGTGTGTGTGTGAGGTACCAGTGAGTGAGTGTGTGTGTGAGGTACCAGTGAGTGAGTGTGTGTGTGAGGTACCAGTGAGTGAGTGTGTGTGTGAGGTGCCAGTGAGTGAGTGAGTGTGTGAGGTACCAGTGAGTGTGTGTGTGTGTGAGGTGCCAGTGAGTGTGTGTGTGAGGTACCAGTGTGTGTGTGTGTGTGTGAGGTACCAGTGAGTGAGTGTGTGTGTGAGGTACCAGTGAGTGTGTGTGTGTGTGAGGTGCCAGTGAGTGTGTGTGTGTGTGAGGTACCAGTGAGTGTGTGTGTGTGTGAGGTACCAGTGAGTGTGTGTGTGTGTGAGGTACCAGTGAGTGAGTGTGTGTGTGAGGTGCCAGTGAGTGAGTGTGTGTGTGAGGTACCAGTGAGTGAGTGTGTGTGTGAGGTGCCAGTGAGTGTGTGTGTGTGTGAGGTACCAGTGAGTGAGTGTGTGTGTGAGGTACCAGTGAGTGAGTGTGTGTGTGAGGTGCCAGTGAGTGAGTGTGTGTGTGAGGTGCCAGTGAGTGAGTGTGTGTGTGAGGTGCCAGTGAGTGAGTGTGTGTGTGAGGTACCAGTGAGTGTGTGTGTGTGTGAGGTACCAGTGAGTGTGTGTGTGTGTGAGGTGCCAGTGTGTGTGTGTGTGTGTGAGGTACCAGTGAGTGAGTGTGTGTGTGAGGTACCAGTGAGTGAGTGTGTGTGTGAGGTGCCAGTGAGTGTGTGTGTGTGTGAGGTACCAGTGAGTGAGTGTGTGTGTGAGGTACCAGTGTGTGTGTGTGTGAGGTGCCAGTGAGTGAGTGTGTGTGTGAGGTACCAGTGAGTGAGTGTGTGTGTGAGGTGTCAGTGAGTGTGTGTGAGGTACCAGTGAGTGTGTGTGTGTGTGTGAGGTACCAGTGAGTGTGTGTGTGAGGTACCAGTGAGTGTGTGTGTGAGGTACCAGTGAGTGAGTGTGTGTGTGAGGTACCAGTGAGTGTGTGTGTGTGTGTGAGGTACCAGTGAGTGAGTGTGTGTGTGAGGTGCCAGTGAGTGAGTGTGTGTGTGAGGTACCAGTGAGTGAGTGTGTGTGTGAGGTGCCAGTGAGTGAGTGTGTGTGTGAGGTACCAGTGAGTGAGTGTGTGTGTGAGGTACCAGTGAGTGAGTGTGTGTGTGAGGTACCAGTGAGTGAGTGTGTGTGTGAGGTACCAGTGAGTGTGTGTGTGTGTGAGGTGCCAGTGAGTGAGTGTGTGTGTGAGGTGCCAGTGAGTGTGTGTGTGTGTGAGGTGCCAGTGAGTGAGTGTGTGTGTGAGGTACCAGTGAGTGTGTGTGTGTGTGAGGTACCAGTGAGTGAGTGTGTGTGTGAGGTACCAATGAGTGAGTGTGTGTGTGAGGTACCAGTGAGTGAGTGTGTGTGTGAGGTACCAGTGAGTGTGTGTGTGTGTGAGGTACCAGTGAGTGTGTGTGTGTGTGTGTGAGGTGCCAGTGAGTGAGTGTGTGTGTGAGGTACCAGTGTGTGTGTGTGTGAGGTACCAGTGAGTGAGTGTGAGGTGCCAGTGAGTGAGTGTGTGTGTGAGGTGCCAGTGAGTGTGTGTGTGTGTGAGGTGCCAGTGAGTGAGTGTGTGTGTGTGTGAGGTACCAGTGAGTGTGTGTGTGAGGTACCAGTGTGAGTGTGTGTGAGGTACCAGTGAGTGTGTGTGTGAGGTACCAATGAGTGAGTGTGTGTGTGAGGTACCAGTGAGTGTGTGTGTGAGGTACCAGTGAGTGAGTGTGTGTGTGAGGTACCAGTGAGTGAGTGTGTGTGTGAGGTACCAGTGAGTGAGTGTGTGTGTGAGGTACCAGTGAGTGTGTGTGTGTGTGAGGTACCAGTGAGTGTGTGTGTGTGTGTGTGAGGTGCCAGTGAGTGAGTGTGTGTGTGAGGTACCAGTGTGTGTGTGTGTGTGAGGTACCAGTGAGTGAGTGTGAGGTGCCAGTGAGTGTGTGTGTGTGTGAGGTGCCAGTGAGTGTGAGTGTGTGTGAGGTACCAGTGAGTGAGTGTGTGTGTGTGTGAGGTACCAGTGTGAGTGTGTGTGAGGTACCAGTGAGTGAGTGTGTGTGTGAGGTACCAGTGAGTGAGTGTGTGTGTGAGGTACCAGTGAGTGAGTGTGTGTGTGAGGTACCAGTGAGTGTGTGTGTGTGTGAGGTACCAGTGAGTGTGAGTGTGTGTGAGGTACCAGTGAGTGAGTGTGTGTGTGAGGTACCAGTGAGTGAGTGTGTGTGTGAGGTACCAGTGAGTGTGAGTGTGTGTGAGGTACCAGTGAGTGTGTGTGTGAGGTACCAGTGTGAGTGTGTGTGTGAGGTGCCAGTGAGTGAGTGTGTGTGTGAGGTGCCAGTGAGTGAGTGTGTGTGTGAGGTACCAGTGAGTGAGTGTGTGTGTGAGGTACCAGTGAGTGTGTGTGTGAGGTACCAGTGAGTGAGTGTGTGTGTGAGGTGCCAGTGAGTGAGTGAGTGTGTGAGGTACCAGTGAGTGAGTGTGTGTGTGAGGTGCCAGTGAGTGAGTGAGTGTGTGAGGTACCAGTAAGTGAGTGTGTGTGTGAGGTGCCAGTGAGTGTGTGTGTGTGTGAGGTACCAGTGAGTGAGTGTGTGTGTGAGGTACCAGTGAGTGAGTGTGTGTGTGAGGTACCAGTGAGTGAGTGTGTGTGTGAGGTACCAGTGAGTGAGTGTGTGTGTGAGGTGCCAGTGAGTGAGTGAGTGTGTGAGGTACCAGTGAGTGTGTGTGTGTGTGAGGTGCCAGTGAGTGTGTGTGTGAGGTACCAGTGTGTGTGTGTGTGTGTGAGGTACCAGTGAGTGAGTGTGTGTGTGAGGTACCAGTGAGTGAGTGTGTGTGTGAGGTGCCAGTGAGTGAGTGAGTGTGTGAGGTACCAGTGAGTGTGTGTGTGAGGTGCCAGTGAGTGAGTGTGTGTGTGAGGTACCAGTGAGTGTGTGTGTGTGTGAGGTGCCAGTGAGTGAGTGTGTGTGTGAGGTGCCAGTGAGTGAGTGAGTGTGTGAGGTACCAGTGAGTGTGTGTGTGTGTGAGGTACCAGTGAGTGAGTGTGTGTGTGAGGTACCAGTGAGTGAGTGTGTGTGTGAGGTACCAGTGAGTGAGTGTGTGTGTGAGGTACCAGTGAGTGAGTGTGTGTGTGAGGTACCAGTGAGTGTGTGTGTGAGGTACCAATGAGTGAGTGTGTCTGTGTGTGAGGTACCAGTGAGTGTGTGAGGTACGAGTGAGTGAGTGTGTGTGTGAGGTACCAGTGAGTGAGTGTGTGTGTGAGGTACCAGTGAGTGAGTGTGTGTGTGAGGTACCAGTGAGTGTGTGTGTGTGTGAGGTACCAGTGAGTGTGTGTGTGAGGTACCAGTGAGTGTGTGTGTGAGGTACCAGTGAGTGAGTGTGTGTGTGAGGTGCCAGTGAGTGAGTGTGTGTGTGAGGTACCAGTGTGTGTGTGTGTGAGGTACCAGTGAGTGAGTGTGAGGTGCCAGTGAGTGTGTGTGTGTGTGAGGTGCCAGTGAGTGAGTGTGTGTGTGTGTGAGGTACCAGTGTGAGTGTGTGTGAGGTACCAGTGAGTGAGTGTGTGTGTGAGGTACCAGTGAGTGTGTGTGTGTGTGAGGTACCAGTGAGTGTGAGTGTGTGTGAGGTACCAGTGAGTGAGTGTGTGTGTGAGGTACCAGTGAGTGTGTGTGTGTGTGAGGTACCAGTGAGTGTGAGTGTGTGTGAGGTACCAGTGAGTGAGTGTGTGTGTGAGGTACCAGTGAGTGAGTGTGTGTGTGAGGTACCAGTGAGTGTGAGTGTGTGTGAGGTACCAGTGAGTGTGTGTGTGAGGTACCAGTGTGAGTGTGTGTGTGAGGTGCCAGTGAGTGAGTGTGTGTGTGAGGTGCCAGTGAGTGAGTGTGTGTGTGAGGTACCAGTGAGTGAGTGTGTGTGTGAGGTGCCAGTGAGTGAGTGAGTGTGTGAGGTACCAGTGAGTGAGTGTGTGTGTGTGTGAGGTGCCAGTGAGTGAGTGTGTGTGTGAGGTACCAGTGAGTGAGTGTGAGGTGCCAGTGAGTGTGTGTGTGTGTGAGGTGCCAGTGAGTGTGAGTGTGTGTGAGGTACCAGTGAGTGAGTGTGTGTGTGTGTGAGGTACCAGTGTGAGTGTGTGTGAGGTACCAGTGAGTGAGTGTGTGTGTGAGGTACCAGTGAGTGAGTGTGTGTGTGAGGTACCAGTGAGTGAGTGTGTGTGTGAGGTGCCAGTGAGTGAGTGAGTGTGTGAGGTACCAGTAAGTGAGTGTGTGTGTGAGGTGCCAGTGAGTGAGTGAGTGTGTGAGGTACCAGTGAGTGTGTGTGTGTGTGAGGTGCCAGTGAGTGAGTGTGTGTGTGAGGTGCCAGTGAGTGAGTGAGTGTGTGAGGTACCAGTGAGTGTGTGTGTGTGTGAGGTACCAGTGAGTGAGTGTGTGTGTGAAGTGCCAGTGAGTGAGTGTGTGTGTGAGGTACCAGTGAGTGAGTGTGTGTGTGAGGTGCCAGTGAGTGAGTGAGTGTGTGAGGTACCAGTGAGTGAGTGTGTGTGTGAGGTGCCAGTGAGTGAGTGAGTGTGTGAGGTACCAGTGAGTGTGTGTGTGTGTGAGGTGCCAGTGAGTGAGTGTGTGTGTGAGGTGCCAGTGAGTGAGTGAGTGTGTGAGGTACCAGTGAGTGTGTGTGTGTGTGAGGTACCAGTGAGTGAGTGTGTGTGTGAGGTACCAGTGAGTGTGTGTGTGTGTGAGGTACCAGTGAGTGTGTGTGTGAGGTGCCAGTGAGTGTGTGTGTGAGGTACCAGTGAGTGAGTGTGTGTGTGAGGTGCCAGTGAGTGTGTGTGTGAGGTGCCAGTGAGTGTGTGTGTGTGTGAGGTACCTGTGAGTGTGTGTGTGTGTGAGGTGCCAGTGAGTGAGTGTGTGTGTGAGGTACCAGTGAGTGAGTGTGTGTGTGAGGTACCAGTGAGTGTGTGTGTGTGTGAGGTACCAGTGAGTGAGTGTGTGTGTGAGGTGCCAGTGAGTGTGTGTGTGTGTGAGGTACCAGTGAGTGAGTGTGTGTGTGAGGTACCAGTGAGTGTGTGTGTGTGTGTGTGAGGTGCCAGTGAGTGAGTGTGTGTGTGAGGTACCAGTGAGTGTGTGTGTGTGTGAGGTACCAGTGAGTGTGTGTGTGTGTGAGGTGCCAGTGAGTGAGTGTGTGTGTGAGGTACCAGTGAGTGTGTGTGTGTGTGAGGTGCCAGTGAGTGAGTGTGTGTGTGAGGTACCAGTGAGTGTGTGTGTGTGTGAGGTACCAGTGAGTGTGTGTGTGTGTGAGGTGCCAGTGAGTGTGTGTGTGTGTGAGGTACCAGTGAGTGTGTGTGTGTGTGAGGTGCCAGTGAGTGTGTGTGTGAGGTGCCAGTGAGTGTGTGTGTGTGTGAGGTGCCAGTGAGTGTGTGTGTGTGTGAGGTACCAGTGAGTGTGTGTGTGTGTGAGGTACCAGTGAGTGAGTGTGAGTGTGTGGTGCCAGTGAGTGTGTGTGTGTGTGAGGTACCAGTGAGTGTGTGTGTGTGAGGTGCCAGTGAGTGTGTGTGTGAGGTGCCAGTGAGTGTGTGTGTGTGTGAGGTGCCAGTGAGTGTGTGTGTGTGTGAGGTACCAGTGAGTGTGTGTGTGTGTGAGGTGCCAGTGAGTGTGTGTGTGTGTGAGGTACCAGTGAGTGAGTGTGAGTGTGTGGTGCCAGTGAGTGTGTGTGTGTGTGAGGTACCAGTGAGTGTGTGTGTGTGTGAGGTACCAGTGAGTGTGTCTGTGTGTGAGGTACCAGTGAGTGTGTGAGGTGCCAGTGAGTGTGTGAGGTACCAGTGAGTGTGTGAGGTACCAGTGAGTGAGTGTGTGAGGTACCAGTGAGTGTGTGTGTGTGTGAGGTACCAGTGAGTGAGTGAGTGTGTGAGGTACCAGTGAGTGTGTGTGTGAGGTGCCAGTGAGTGTGTGTGTGTATGAGGTACCAGTGAGTGAGTGTGTGTGTGAGGTGCCAGTGAGTGAGTGTGTGTGTGAGGTGCCAGTGAGTGTGTGTGTGTGTGTGAGGTGCCAGTGAGTGTGTGTGTGTGTGAGGTACCAGTGAGTGTGTGTGTGTGTGAGGTGCCAGTGAGTGTGTGTGTGTGTGAGGTGCCAGTGTGTCTGTGTGAGAGATGCCAGTGAGTGAGTGTGTGAGGTGCCAGTGAGTGAGTGTGTGTGTGTGAGATGCCAGTGTGTGTGTGAGGTGCCAGTGCGTGTGAGGTGCTCACGCGGTGCGCTGGTGCCTGTGCCCGCTGCCCACGCACAGGCAGGCGCTGCCCGCCAGCAGGAGCAGCAGCAGCAGCAGCGCCGCTACCCCCAGCAGCCCAAAGCGGCTGCGTGAGTCTGCACACACCAACACACACAGACATACATACACATACACATGCACACACACACAGACATACATACACATACACAGGCACACACAGACATACACACGTACACACACACACAGACATACATGCACATACACAGGCACACACCCTGCTGAGGCTGCGGTGCCTCAAATATTGGAAGAGGTCACCCCCTGTGAGTGGCTGGCTGAGGTGCCAGCTGTTGAGGAAGTACTGAGGGCGATCCGGAGTCTGAGACCAGGGAAGGCATCGGGCAGAGATGATCTCCCAAGCGAAATGCTGAGGGAGGGTGGCGTTTGTGCACAGACTGCCCTATATGACATCATAACAACAGTCTGGACCACTGGACGGGTTCCGCAGGACTGGAAGGATGCCCTGGTGGTTCCTCTCTTTAAGAAGGGGGACCGTACCGACTGTAACAACTACAGGGGCATCTCACTCCTCAGTGTGCCGGGTAAGGTCCTGGCAAGGATTATTCAACATCGCCTTGCTAGGCACGCTGAGGAGAGGCTTGCGGAGCCCCAATGCGGTTTCAGGAAAGGGCGGTCCTGCACAGATGCCATATTTTCTGTCCGTCTGCTACAGCAGAGGTGTAGGGAATTCCAAAAAGACCTACATCTCTGCTTTATTGACCTGGTCAAGGCCTATGATACCATCAGTAGGACTGGGCTCTGGGTTGTTCTTCGTGCTTTCGGAGTCCCTGACCCTCTGCTCACGATCATTAAGGACCTTCATGATGGTGAGCGGGCCAGGATAAAACTACGTGGCCGGGAGTCGGAGCCTTTCCCTGTACACCTTGGGGTGCGACAGGGATGTCCTCTGGCTCCCACATTATTTAACATCTATTTTGACCGCGTAGTTCGTGAAGCCTTCAATAGCTGTACCGGAGGAATTTCCATTTGGTACAGATATAATGGGAGGCTGATCGACGCCCGGGTGCGATCAAGGGATGGCTCCCTATTGGTCAACCACGTTATGTATGCCGATGATTTGGTAATAGCTGCTCATTCAGAAGAGGAGTTGGAGACGCTGCTGCTGAGACTGGAGCGTGCCACCAAGAGGTGGGGCCTTACCATCAGCCCCACCAAAACTAAGCACCTGCCTGGGTATTTTGTACCATCGGACACTCCACCCCCACAACTCCCAATTGGTGATGGGGCAGTTGTGGAGAGAGTGGAGAGTTTCCCATACCTGGGCAGTGTGCTTATGACCGGCTCCAGTCTATCAGCAGAGGTCTCACTCCGAATCAGTCGAGCGGCAATATCTTTTCATCGGTTGCGTAACGCTGTGTGGAAGCTACCTGGTCTGTCGCTCCGCACGAAGCTTCAGGTCTTCTCGGCCACGGTCATTCCCTCCCTTCTCTACGCTTGCGAGACGTGGACCCCCCTGGTGGAGCATCTTCGCCGGTTGGAAACATTTAGGCTGGCCTGCCTACGATCCATCCTGGGTTTAACCAGGCTGGATTGTGTGAGGAGCTCACAAATCCTTGAAAGATCTGGGCAAAGTCCCATCAGTGAGCTCCTCCGGCAGGCAAGGCTGCGTTGGCTGGGTCATGTAGCCCGCATGCCCAGCCACCGCATGCCTAAACAGCTTTTGTTCGGCCGGATCGAGGGGGCTAGACGGGCGCGGCACGGGCTGGAGAAGAGATGGAGTGATGTGGTACAGGAGGACGTGGAGCTGAGTGGACTTGCCGATGACTGGTACCAGCGGTGTCAAGATCGGCCTCAGTGGAGGAGGCTCGTGAAGGACGCTACTGGGCAGTTGGAGGCAGTCGCCCTCCAACAACAACGGAGGGCGGAGGAGCGACGCTCACAACAACGAGCGGAGCGCCGGGTGGCTAAAGCACAGCAAGTTGGCACAGTAGGGGGCACAGGTGGTGCATCAGCCAGTCATCTCGGTCATCTCGGTCAGTCGACCCGTGGCACCTGGGTCTGCCCCGTGACCTCCTGCCAGCGGGCTTTCGACACTTCACGTGGCCTCAAGGTGCACTTGGCCTGGCACAAGCATCGTGGTGACGTCACCGCCACTTAGTGGCGAATGGCGGTTGTTGTTGTTGTTGTTGTTGTGTATGTCTGTGTGTGTGCGTGTGTGTGTCTGTGTGTGTGTGTGTACGTGTGTACGAGCCTGTGTGTGTGTGCTGTGTGTATGCTGTATGTGTGCTGTGTGTGTGTGTGTGCTGTGTGTATACTGTGTGTGTGTGTGCTGTGTGTGTGCTGTGTGTATGCTGTGTGTGTGTGTATGCTGTATGTGTGTATGTATGTGTGTGTGTATGTGCTGTGTGTATACTGTGTGTGTGTGTGCTGTGTGTGTGCTGTGTGTGTGCTGTGTGTGTGTGTATGCTGTGTGTGTGCTGTGTGTGTGTGTGCTGTGTGTATGCTGTATGTGTGCTGTGTGTGTGTGTGCTGTGTGTGTATGCTGTGTGTATGCTGTGTGTGTGCTGTGTGTGTGTGTATGCTGTGTGTGTGCTGTGTGTGTGTGTATGTGTGTGTGTGTATGCTGTGTGTGTGCTGTGTGTGTGTGTGCTGTGTGTGTATGCTGTGTGTATGCTGTGTGTGTGCTGTGTGTGTGTGTATGCTGTGTGTGTGCTGTGTGTGTGTGTGCTGTGTGTGTATGCTGTGTGTATGCTGTGTGTATGCTGTGTGTGTGTGTATGCTGTGTGTGTGCTGTGTGTGTGTATGCTGTGTGTGTGTATGCTGTGTGTGTGCTGTGTGTGTGTGTGTGTATGCTGTGTGTATGCTGTGTGTATGCTGTGTGTGTGTGTATGCTGTGTGTGTGCTGTGTGTGTGTGTATGTGTGTGTGTGTATGCTGTGTGTATGCTGTGTGTGTGCTGTGTGTGTGTGTATGCTGTGTGTGTGCTGTGTGTGTGTGTGTGCTGTGTGTGTATGCTGTGTGTATGCTGTGTGTGTGCTGTGTGTGTGTGTATGCTGTGTGTGTGCTGTGTGTGTGTGTATGTGTGTGTGTGTATGTGTGTATGTGTGTGTGTATGCTGTGTGTGTGCTGTGTGTATGCTGTGTGTATGCTGTGTGTGTGTATGCTGTGTGTATGCTGTGTGTGTATGTGTGTATGCTGTATGTGTAGATGTGTGTGTGTGTGCTGTGTGCCGTGTGTGTATACTGTATGCTGTGTGTGTATGCTGTGTGTATGCTGTGTGTATGCTGTGTGTGTATGTGTGTATGCTGTATGTGTAGATGTGTGTGTGTGCGCTGTGTGCCGTGTGTGTATACTGTATGCTGTGTGTGTATGCTGTGTGTATGCTGTGTGTGTGTGCTGTGTGTATGCTGTGTGTATGCTGTGTGCTGTGCGTGTGTGACTCACACAGGAGGCAGGCCCCCGTAGCGGCGTCGCACGACCCAGAGCGGCACTCACAGCGGTTGATGCAGCCAGCGCCAAACCACCCCAGAGCACACGACTCGTTACAGCTACACACACACAGCACACAGTATACACACAGTGTACACACACACACAGTGTACACACACACACAGTATACACACACACAGCATACACACACAGCACACACACACAGCACACAACATACACAGCACACACACACACACAGAGGTGGCCGCAGCCAGCGCCAAACCACCCCAGAGCACACGACTCGTTACAGCTACACACACACACAGAGCACACACACAGCACACACACACACACAGTGTACACACACAGTGTACACACACAGCACACACACACAGCATATACACAGTATACACACACACCGTGTACACACAGCACACACACACAGTACACACACAGCACACACAGTGTACACACACAGCACACACACAGCATACACACACAGTGTACACACACAGCACACACACAGTATACACACACACACAGCATATACACACAGTATACACACACACAATGTACACATAGCACACGACTCGTTACAGCTACACACACAGCACACACACAGTACACACACACAGTATACACACAGCATACACACACAGCATACACACACAGTATACACACAGCATACACACACAGTATACACACACACAGCATACACACACAGCATACACGCACAGTATACACACACAGTACACACACAGCACACACACACAGCATACACACAGCATACACACAGCATACACACAGCATACACACAGCACACACACACAGCACACACACAGTATACACACACAGTACACACACACAGTACACACACACACACAGTATACACACACAGCACACACACAGCATATATACACACACACACAGCACACAACATACACACAGCATATACAGCATATACAGCACACACAGTATACACACACACAGCACACACAGCACACACACACACAGTATAAACACACACAGCACACACACACCGTATACACACACACAGCACACACACAGCACACACACAGCATACACACAGTATACACACACACACACACAGCACACACACACACAGCATATATACACACGGTATACACACACACACAGCACACACACACACAGCATACACACACAGCACACAGTATACACACACAGCACACAGTATACACACACAGCATACACACAGCATACACACAGCATACACACACAGTATACACACAGTATACACACACACAGCACACACACATAGCATACACACAGCACACACACAGCATATATACACAGCATATACAGCACACAGTATACACACACAGTATACACACACACAGCACACACACAGCATATATACACAGTATACACAGCACACAGTATACACACACACAGAACACACACACACAGCATACATACACAGCACACACACACAGCACACACACAGTATACACACACAGCACACACAGCACACACACACACAGCACACACACACAGTATACACACACACAGCATACATACACAGCACACACACACAGCACACACACACACAGCACACACACAGCACACACACACACACACACAGCACACACACAGTATACACACACAGCACACACACAGCATACACACAGTATACACACACAGCACACACACAGCATACACAGTATACACACACAGCACACACACAGCATACACAGTATACACACACAGCACACACACACAGCATACGCAGTATATACACAGCATACACACACACAGCACACACACAGCACACACACAGTATACACACAGTATACACACACAGCACACACAGCATACACACAGTATACACACACAGCACGCACACACACACACACAGCATACACACACACAGCACACAGTATACACACACAGCACACACACACAGCACACACACACAGTATACACACAGCATACACACACACAGCACACACACACAGTATACACACAGTATACACACACAGCATACACACACAGCACACACACAGCACACAGACACACAGTATACACACAGCACACACACAGCACACACACACAGTATACACACAGTATACACACACAGCATACACACAGCACACACACAGCATACACACACAGCACAACATACACAGCACACAGCACACACACAGCATACACACACACAGCATACACACACAGCACACACACAGCACACACACACACAGTATACACACACACAGCACACACACAGCATACACACAGCACACACACAGCATACATACAGGTGGTGGTGCTGGTAGTGGTGATGCTGGTAGTGGTAGTAGTGGTGGTGGTAGTAGTGGTGGTGGTAGTAGTAGTGGTGGTAGTGTGGTGGTAGTGGTGGTAGTGGTGGTTGTGGTAGTGGTGGTAGTGTAGTAGTGGTAGTAGTAGTGGTAGTGTAGTACTGGTAGTAGAGGTGGTGGTAGTGGTCGTGGTGGTGGTAGTGGTGGTGGTAGTAGTGGTGGTAGTGGTGGTAGTGTAGTAGTGGTGGTAGTAGTGATGGTGGTTGTGGTGGTGGTAGTATAGTAGTAGTGGTGGTGGTAGTGGTAGTGGTTGTGATGGTGGTAGTGGTAGTAGTGGTGGTAGTAGTGTAGTAGTGGTGGTGGTAGTGGTGGTGGTAGTGTAGTAATGGTGGTAGTGGTGGTAGTGGTGGTGGTGGTAGTGGTGGTGGTAGTAGTGTAGTAGTGGTGGTAGTGGTTGTGGTGGTGGTAGTGGTTGTGGTGGTGGTAGTGGTAGTAGTGGTGGTGGTAGTAGTGGTAGTGGTGGTAGTGGTAGTGGTGGTAGTTGTGGTGGTAGTGGTTGTGGTAGTCGTGGTGGTGGTAGTTGTGGTGGTAGTGGTGGTGGTAGTAGTGGTGGTTGTGGTGGTTGTGGTGGTTGTGGTGGTGGTGGTAGTGGTGGTGGTGGTTGTAGTAGTTGTGGTGGTGGTGGTTGTGGTAGTGGTGGTAGTAGTTGTGGTTGTGGTGGTGGTGGTAGTAGTGTTGTTGTACCTGGCCCCGCTGAGCCCAGGGGGACAGCGACACTCTCCACTCTCCGAGTCGCAGGAGCCGTTGGAGCAGTCGGGGCAGAGCAGCGAGCAGCGCGCACCAAACCAGCCCAGCGGACACGGAGAGTCACACCTAGGGGGTGACTCACAAAGTCACTCACTCAGTCACCCAGTCAGTCACCCAGTCAGTCACCCAGTCAGTCACCCAGTCACCCAGTCAGTCACCCAGTCACTCACTCACTCACCACGTCACTCACTCAGAGCAGCGAGCAGCGCGCACCAAACCAGCCCAGCGGACACGGAGAGTCACACCTAGGGGGTGACTCACCAAGTCACTCACTCAGTCACCCAGTCAGTCACCCAGTCAGTCACCCAGTCACTCACCCAGTCAGTCACCCACTCACTCACCACGTCACTCACTCACTCAGAGCAGCGAGCAGCGCGCACCAAACCAGCCCAGAGGACACGGAGAGTCACACCTGGTGAGGGGGGACGACTCACCAAGTCACTCACCCAGTCACTCACTCACTCAGTCACTCAGTCACCCAGTCACTCACCACGTCACTCACTCACTCACTCACTCACCAAGTCACTCACTCACTCAGTCTCCAAGTCACTAACTCACTCATCACGTCACTCACCAAGTCACTCACTCACCCAGTCACTCAGTCACCAAGTAACTCAGTCACCCACCACGTCACTCACCCACCAAGTCACTCACCAAGTCACTCACCGCGTCACTCACTCACCACGTCACTCACCCACTCACTCACCCATCTGCCCACTCAACCATCCACTCACCCACTAACTCACCCACCCACCCACTCACCCACTCAACCATCTATTCAACGACCCACCCACGCAGTCACTCACCCACCCACTCACCCACCCACCCACCCACTCACCCACCCACCCACCCACCCACCCACTCACCCACCCACCCACTCACCCACCCACCCACTCACCCACTCACCCACCCACCCACCCACTCACCCACCCACCCACTCACTCACCCACCCACCCACTCACCCACCCACCCACTCACCCACCCCACCACCCACCCACCCCCTCACCCCCTCACCCACCCACCCACCCCCTCACCCACCCACCCACCCCCTCACCCCCTCACCCACTCACCCACCCACCCACCCACTCACCCACTCACCCACCACCCACCCACTCACCCACCCACCCACCCACTCACCCACCCCCTCACCCCCTCACCCACCCACCCACCCACCCACCCCCTCACCCACCCACCCACCCACCCCCTCACCCACCCACCCACCCACTCACTCACTCACCCACTCACCCACCCACTCACCCACCCACTCACTCACTAACCCACCCACCCACTCAACCATCTACTCACCGACCCACCCACTCACTCACTCACCCACTCACCCACCCACCCACTCACTCACTCACTCACCCACTCACCCACCCACCCACCCACTCACCCACCCACTCACCCACTCACCCACCCACCCACTCACCCACTCACCCACCACCCACTCACCCACCCACCCACTCACCCACCCACTCACTCACCTACTCACCCATCTGCCCACCCACTCACCCACCCACCCACCCCCTCACCCACCCACTCACCCACCCACCCACCCACCCACCCACCCACCCCACCCACCCACCTGGGCCCCGTGTATCCGGGCGGGCAGTGTGGGCAGGTGCCGTCCTCAGGGTGGCAGGCGGTGTCGGGGTGGCACACGGGACAGGGGTGGGCACAGCCCTCGCCAAACCAGCCACCCACCCACCCAGTCACCCACTTAGTCACTCACCTACTCACTCACCCACCCACCCAGTCACCCACTTAGTCACTCACCTACTCACTCACCCACCCACCCAGTCACCCACTCAGTCACTCACTCACTCATTCATCCACCCAGTCACCCAGTCACCCACTCAGTCACCCAACCACCGACTCACCCACTTAGTCACTCACCTACTCACCCACTCAGTCACTCACCTACTCACTCAGCCACCCACTCAACCATCTACTCACCAACCCACTCACTCACCCACCCACCCACCCACCTACTCACCCACCCACCCACCCCCTCACCCACCCACCCATCCACCCACCCACTCACCCACCCACTCACCCACCCACCCACCCACTCACCCACCCACTCACCCACCCACCCACCCCCTCACCCACCCACTCACCCACCCACCCACCCACCTGGGCCCCGTGTATCCGGGTGGGCAGTGTGGGCAGGTGCCGTCCTCAGGGTGGCAGGCGGTGTCGGGGTGGCACACGGGACAGGGGTGGGCACAGCCCTCGCCAAACCACCCGGCGGCGCAGCGCTCCCCACAGCGCTCGCCCCGCCAGCCAGACGCACACGCCTCACACATGCCCCGCTGAGGGTCGCACGGGGCCGCACGCTTGCAGCGCCCGCACCTACAGGCGTCACACACACACACACACAGGCGTCACACACATGTCACACACACACGCGTCACACACACATGTCACACACACACAGGCCTCACACACGCCCCGCTGGGGATCGCACGGGGCCGCACGCTTGCAGCGCCCGCACCTACAGGCGTCACACACACACGCGTCACACGTACAGGCGTCACACACACACGTCACACACACACACACAGGCGTCACACACACATACAGGCGTCACACACACACACAGGCGTCACACACACACACAGGTGTCACACACATGTCACACACACACACACGCATCACACACATACAGGAGTCACACACACAGGAGTCACACACACAGGCGTCACACACACACAGACGTCACACACACGCATCACACACAAACACACAGGCGTCACAGACGCACACGCGTCACACACGCCCCGCTGGGGGTCGCACGGGGCCGCACGCTTGCAGCGCCCGCACCTAGGGGCGTCACACACACACACATCACATACGTCACACACACATACAGGCGTCACACATACACAGGCATCACACACAGACATCACGCACACACACATCACACAGGCATCACACACACAGGGGTCACATTCACGGCGTCTCGCCTGTGTGTGTGTGACGCCTGTGTGTGTGTGACGCCTGTGTGTGTGTGACGCCTGTGTGTGTGTGACGCCTGTGTGTGTGTGACGCCTGTGTGTGTGTGACGCCTGTGTGTGTGTGACGCCTGTGTGTGTGTGACGCCTGTGTGTGTGTGACGCCTGTGTGTGTGTGACGCCTGTGTGTGTGTGACGCCTGTGTGTGTGTGACGCCTGTGTGTGTGTGACGCCTGTGTGTGTGTGACGCCTGTGTGTGTGTGACGCCTGTGTGTGTGTGACGCCTGTGTGTGTGTGACGCCTGTGTGTGTGTGACGCCTGTGTGTGTGTGACGCCTGTGTGTGTGTGACGCCTGTGTGTGTGTGACGCCTGTGTGTGTGTGACGCCTGTGTGTGTGTGACGCCTGTGTGTGTGTGACGCCTGTGTGTGTGTGACGCCTGTGTGTGTGTGACGCCTGTGTGTGTGTGACGCCTGTGTGTGTGTGACGCCTGTGTGTGTGTGATGCCTGTGTGTGTGTGACGCCTGTGTGTGTGTGACGCCTGTGTGTGTGTGACGCCTGTGTGTGTGTGTGACGCCTGTGTGTGTGTGACGCCTGTGTGTGTGTGTGACGCCTGTGTGTGTGTGTGACGCCTGTGTGTGTGTGACGCCTGTGTGTGTGTGACGCCTGTGTGTGTGTGACGCCTGTGTGTGTGTGACGCCTGTGTGTGTGTGACGCCTGTGTGTGTGTGACGCCTGTGTGTGTGTGACGCCTGTGTGTGTGTGACGCCTGTGTGTGTGTGACGCCTGTGTGTGTGTGACGCCTGTGTGTGTGTGACGCCTGTGTGTGTGTGTGATGCCTGTGTGTGTGTGTACTGGGACCCCACACGCACCCCCCCTCCAGTACCTCTAGATACTCGCCCACCTCCCCCTGGTAGTGCAGTACCTGTAGGCACGCTGGTAACCCCCAGTTCACTCTCAGTGACTCCCAGGTACCCCAGTGACCCACCCCTGGTAGTGCACTAACAGTGGGCATGCTGGTAACCCCAGGTCCTCTCAGGGACCCACTCACCCACCCAGTCACCCACTCAGTCACTCACCTACTCACTCATCCACCCACCCACTCACCCACCCACTCACTCCCCGACTCACTCACTCAATCATTCACCCATCCACTCACTCACCCACTAATCCACCCACCCACTCACCCACCCACTCAACCATCTACTCACCGACCCACCCACTCAGTCACTCACCCACTCACTCACCCATCTGCCCACTCAACCATCCACTCACTCACCCACCCACCCACTGGTACCCCCACAAACCCCCCATCCACCCCTGCTAGTGCACTACCTGTAGGCACGCTGGTATCCCACTGGTACCCCCAGTGACCCCTGGTAGTGCACTACCTGTAGGCACGCTGGTAACGACCCACCCCCGCTAGTGCACTACCTGTAGGCACGCTGGTATCCCACTGGTACCCCCAGTGACCCCTGGTAGTGCACTACCTGTAGGCACGCTGGTAGCCCCCAGTTCTCTCTCAGGAACTCCCAGGTCCCCAGTGACCCACCCCTGGTAGTGCACTACCGGTGGGCACGCTGGTATCCCACTGGTACCCCCACTCATCCAACCGCCCACTCAACCATCCACTCACTCACCGACCCACTCACTCACTCAATTATTCACCCATCCACTCACTCAACCATCTACTCACCCACTAACCCCCCCACCCACTCACCCACCCACTCAGTCACTCACCCACTCACTCACCCATCTGCCCACTCAACCATCCACTCACTCACCCACCCACCCACTGGTACCCCCACAAACCCCCCACCCACCCCCGGTAGTGCACTACCTGTAGGCACGCTGGTATCCCACTGGTACCCCCCAGTGACCCCTGGTAGTGCACTACCTGTAGGCACGCTGGTATCCCACTGGTACCCCCCAGTGACCCCTGGTAGTGCACTACCTGTAGGCACGCTGGTATCCCACTGGTACCCCCAGTGACCCCTGGTAGTGAACTACCTGTAGGCACGCTGGTATCCCACTGGTACCCCCAGTGACCCCTGGTAGTGAACTACCTGTAGGCACGCTGGTATCCCACTGGTACCCCCAGTGACCCCTGGTAGTGCACTACCTGTAGGCACGCTGGTATCCCACTGGTACCCCCAGTGACCCCTGGTAGTGAACTACCTGTAGGCACGCTGGTATCCCACTGGTACCCCCCAGTGACCCCTGGTAGTGAACTACCTGTAGGCACGCTGGTATCCCACTGGTACCCCCAGTGACCCCTGGTAGTGCACTACCTGTAGGCACGCTGGTATCCCACTGGTACCCCCAGTGACCCCTGGTAGTGAACTACCTGTAGGCACGCTGGTAGCCCCCAGCTCACTCTCAGGAACTCCCAGGTCCCCAGTGACCCACCCACCCCCGCTAGTGCAATACCTGTAGGCACACTGGTATCCGTAGAGTCCGGCGGGGCATGCCTCGGCGCAGTAGCGTCCCCGGTGTCCCGGGCGGCACACGCAGGAGCCGCTGAGCGTGACGCACCGCTCCGTGGCGGAGGGGCGGCAGGCACAGCGGTGCTCGCAGCGCGCTCCCCAGAGACCCTCACGGCAAACGCAGCGGCCTGAGGGGAGAGGGGCGGGGATTAGGGCAAGGTAAAAGTTAGAAGGTAAAAAACAACGAGCCTGCCTTTTACCCTTCAGCAGGCAAGGTAAAAGTTAGAAGGTAAAAAACAACGAGGCTAGCTTTTACCCTTCAGCAGGCAAGGTAAAAGTTGGAAGGTAAAAACAACGAGCCTATCTTTTACCCTTCAGCAGGCAAGGTAAAAGTTGGAAGGTAAAAAACAACGAGCCTGCCTTTTACCCTTCAGCAGGCAAGGTAAAAGTTAGAAGGTAAAAAACAACGAGCCTATCTTTTACCCTTCAGCAGGCAAGGTAAAAGTTGGAAGGGAAAAAACAACGAGGCTACCTTTTACCCTTCAGCAGGCAAGGTAAAAGTTGGAAGGTAAAAACAACGAGCATAGCTTTTACCCTTCAGCAGGCAAGGTAAAAGTTGGAAGGTAAAAACAACGAGCCTATCTTTTACCCTTCAGCAGGCAAGGTAAAAGTTGGAAGGTAAAAAACAACGAGCCTATCTTTTACCCTTCAGCAGGCAAGGTAAAAGTTGGAAGGTAAAAAACAACGAGCCTATCTTTTACCCTTCAGCAGGCAAGGTAAAAGTTGGAAGGTAAAAAACAACGAGCTTACCTTTTACCCTTCAGCAGGCAAGGTAAAAGTTGGAAGGTAAGAACAACGAGGCTACCTTTTACCCTTCAGCAGGCAAGGTAAAAGTTAGAAGGTAAAAAACAACGAGCCTAGCTTTTACCCTTCAGCAGGCAAGGTAAAAGTTGGAAGGTAAAAAACAACGAGGCTACCTTTTACCCTACCTTTTACTCTTACCACAATACAATCACTCTACCCTTTTACCCACACAGCGTCACACACACAGCGTCACACACACACAGCGTCACGTACACACACAGCGTCACACACACAGCGTCACACACACAGCGTCACGTACACACACAGCGTCACACACACAGCGTCACACACACACAAGGTCACGTACACGCACAGCGTCACACACACAGCGTCACACACACAGCGTCACGTACACACACAGCGTCACACACACGCACAGCGTCACGCACACACACACACACAGCGTCACACACACAGCGTCACGTACACACACACAAGGTCACGTACACGCACAGCGTCACACACACAGCGTCACACACACAGCGTCACGTACACACACAGCGTCACACACACGCACAGCGTCACGCACACACACACACACAGCGTCACACACACAGCGTCACGTACACACACACAAGGTCACGTACACGCACAGCGTCACACACACAGCGTCACACACACAGCGTCACACACACACGCACACGCTCGCTCACCGGTTGCCGGGTTGCAGGGGGAGCTCCCCCCACAGTGGCAGCGAGCGTTGCAGTTGGGTCCCCACCAGCCGGCACCGCACACACAGCGCCCCGTCGCCTGTTCACACAGCACGGCCCCGGAACCACACCGACACGTGGCACCACACGTGGCACCCCACCTACACACACACACGCGGTGAGGGAGCACACACACACACGCACACACAGCGCCCCGTCGCCTGTTCACACAGCACGGCACCGGCACCGCACCACACGTGGCACCCCACCTACACACACACACACGGTGAGGGAGCACACACACACACACACGCGGTGAGGGAGCACACACACACGCGGTGAGGGAGCACACACACGCACACACACACACACGCACACGCGGTGAGGGAGCACACACACACACGCACACACACACACACGCACACGCGGTGAGGGAGCACACACACACACGCACACACACACACACACGCACACGCGGTGAGGGAGCACACACACACACGGTCACACACACACACACACACGCACACACACACACACACGCACACACAGCGCCCCGTCGCCTGTTCACACAGCACGGCACCGGCACCGCACCACACGTGGCACCCCACCTACACACACACACACACACGGTGAGGGAGCACACACACACACACACGCGGTGAGGGAGCACACACACACGCGGTGAGGGAGCACACACACACACGCACACACACACACACGCACACGCGGTGAGGGAGCACACACACACACGCACACACACACACACACGCACACGCGGTGAGGGAGCACACACACACACGGTCACACACACACACACACACGCACACACACACACACACGCACACACAGCGCCCCGTCGCCTGTTCACACAGCACGGCACCGGCACCGCACCACACGTGGCACCCCACCTACACACACACACACACACGGTGAGGGAGCACACACACACACACACGCGGTGAGGGAGCACACACACACGCGGTGAGGGAGCACACACACGCACACACACACACACGCACACGCGGTGAGGGAGCACACACACACACGCACACACACACACACGCACACGCGGTGAGGGAGCACACACACACACGCACACACACACACACACGCACACGCGGTGAGGGAGCACACACACACACGGTCACACACACACACACACACGCACACACACACACACACGCACACACAGCGCCCCGTCGCCTGTTCACACAGCACGGCACCGGCACCGCACCACACGTGGCACCCCACCTACACACACACACACACACGGTGAGGGAGCACACACACACACACACGCGGTGAGGGAGCACACACACACGCGGTGAGGGAGCACACACACACACGCACACACACACACACGCACACGCGGTGAGGGAGCACACACACACACGCACACACACACACACACGCACACGCGGTGAGGGAGCACACACACACACGGTCACACACACACACACACACGCACACACACACACACACGCACACACAGCGCCCCGTCGCCTGTTCACACAGCACGGCACCGGCACCGCACCACACGTGGCACCCCACCTACACACACACACACACACGGTGAGGGAGCACACACACACACACACGCGGTGAGGGAGCACACACACACGCGGTGAGGGAGCACACACACACACGCACACACACACACACGCACACGCGGTGAGGGAGCACACACACACACGCACACACACACACACACGCACACGCGGTGAGGGAGCACACACACACACGCACACACGCACACGCGGTGAGGGAGCACACACACACACGCACACACGCACACGCGGTGAGGGAGCACACACGCACACACACAGACACACACACACGCGGTGAGGGAGGGAGCACGCACACACACGCACACACACGCACACACGCACACACACACACACGCACACACACGCACACACACACACACGCACACACACGCACACACACACACGCAGCGCCCCGTCGCCTGTTCACACAGCACGGCACCGGCACCACACGTGGTACCCCACCTACACACACACACGCGGTGAGGGAGCACACACACACACGCACACACACGCGGTGAGGGAGCACACACACACACACACGGTGAGGGAGCACACACACACACACGCACTCACGCACACACACGCACACGCAGCGCCCCGTCGCCTGTTCACACAGCACGGCACCGGCACCACAACGACACGTGGCACCATACGTGGCACCCCTACACACACACACACGCGGTGAGGGAGCACACACACACACACGGTGAGGGAGAGGGAGCACACAAACACACACGGTGAGGGAGAGAGAGCACACACACACGCACACGGTGAGGGAGCACACACACACACACACGGTGAGGGAGGGCGAGCACACACACACACACACGGTGAGGAGAGGGAGCACACACACACACGGTGAGGGAGCACACACACACACACACGGTGAGGAGAGGGAGCACACACGCACACACACACACGCGGTGAGGGAGCACACACACACACACACGGTGAGGGAGCGCACACACGCACACACACACACACGCACACACGCACACACACACACGCGGTGAGGGAGAGAGAGCACACACACACGCACACGGTGAGGGAGCACACACACACACACACGGTGAGGAGAGGGAGCACACACGCACACACACACACGCGGTGAGGGAGCACACACACACACACACACGGTGAGGGAGCGCACACACACACACACGCACACACGCACACACACACACGCGGTGAGGGAGCACACACACACACACGGTGAGGGAGCGCACACACACACACACGCACACACGCACACACGCACACACACGCACACACACACACACGCACACACGCACACACGCACACACGCACACACGCACACACGCACACACGCACACACGCACACACGCACGCACGCACACACGCACACACGCACACACGCACACACGCACACGCACACACACGCACACACACACACACGCACACACGCACACACGCACACACACACACACACGCACACACACACACACGCACACACACACACACGCACACACACACACGGTGGGTCCCTCCACCACGTGACCTCCCAGGCACCCCCTTGGGGCCCCCCAGCCCTCGTATGGGCCGACACATTAAAATTACTTTTATTAATTTTAATGTTTTACCTACATGGTGACTTTACCGAAAAAACCTAAGAATATGAATCCTTGCAGTCACGAAAGCTTCAAATCTAGAAACAGCAGTGACCGTTCTATGTCACTACACATGCACTTATAAGATCTTGTCTATATTATAAGATCTTGTCTGTATTATAAGATCTTGTCTGTATTATGACTGCAGGTATTGCGGTCTATGCAAACATGACTCCTTGCAAAAAGGTGTCAGTTTTGTTGCCAGATAGAAGGGTAAAGAACCAATGATCATATTTTTACTGGCAAATGAGGTCCCCATAGTGTAGATGCTTGCCCCGAGCTCTCATACTCTGATGGTGCATTGTCCTTGAGTTGTGCGCCTTTTGGCGTCATCTGGTCCAACCCATATGAGACTAGGCTCGAAGGAAAGCTGTCTCGGGTGTGGACCAATCAACTTCAAGGACAGTGCACATTATCAGAGTTATGTCTTTTGTTTGTATTTATGACTGCAGGTATTGCGGTCTATGCAAACATGACTCCTTGCAAAAAGGTGTCAGTTTTGTTGCCAGATAGAAGGGTAAAAAACCAATTATCAAGATCTTGTCTCTTGGATTTCTCTTCACTTGCTACAGTGAATTTGTCCGTGACGGTCCCACCTGAAGACGGAGACTTGCGTTGCCTCCGAAACGTCGTGATTTTATTATTATTGTTTAATTATTATTTTACCTACGTGACTTTACCGAAAAAAACTAAGAGGAGGGGGACAAAGACAAAGATCCCCCGTGTAGCCTTAACAGACTGTAGGGGCAAGTGCTGTTAGCGAGCACCTATGAAGGCCGCTTTTGTCTCCCCAGTGGCGATGTTTACACACCGCACCAGGTACTCATTTTTTGGCTGAGTCGACCTAGGGGAGGCCCAGAACCGGTTCAGATAATCGTCACTGATGGTGTTGGCCCGTGAGCGGGAATCGAACCCGGGTCGTTGGGTTCATAGCGCAGCGTAGCGCTAACCACTACACTATTAGACACACACACACAGACACACGAACACACGCACACAGACACACACACACAGACACACGGACACACACACACAGACACACGGACACACACACACAGACACACACACACAGACACACGGACACACACACACAGACACACGAACACACGCACAGACACACACACAGACACACACAGACACACGGACACACACAGACACACACACAGACACACACAGACACACGGACACACACACACACAGACCCACACACACACAGACACACGGACACACACACACAGACACACACACGCACACAGACACACGAACACACGCACACAGACACACACACACAGACACACGGACACACACACACAGACACACACACAGACACACACAGACACACGGACACACACACACACAGACACACACACACAGACACACGGACACACACACACAGACACACACACAGACACACACAGACACACGGACACACACACACAGACACACACACACACACACAGACACACACACACACAGACACACACACAGACACACACACAGACACACAGACACACACACGGATACACACACACACAGACACACACACACACAGACACACGGACACACACACACAGACACACACACACAGACACAGACACACACACAGACACACACAGACACACGGACACACACACACAGACACACACACACAGACACACACACGCACACAGACACACACGCACCACTGGCACCCCAACTGGACAAAGACAAAGGTCCCCCGTGTAGCCTTAACAGACTGTTGGGGCAAGTGCTGTTAGCGAGCACCTATCAAGGCTGGAACGGTACACGGGGGGGGGGGGGGGGGGTGGCCAGCACCACGCCCGGCCGCCTTTGTCTCCCCAGTGCTGGCGATGTTTACTACACAGCGCTACACCAGGTACTCATTTGAGGCTGAGTCGACCGAGGGGAGGCCCAAGACCGGTTCAGATAATCGTCACTGATGGACACACACACGCGTGTGTCTCCACGTGTCTCCATCTGTCCTCGTGTCTCCCCCCGTGTCTTTGTGTGTCTCCCCGAGTCTCACCCCGTGTCTCCGTGTCTCTCCCCGTGTCTCTCTCCGTGTCTCTCCCCGTGTCTCTGTGTGTCTTTCCGTGTCTCTGTGTGTCTCCCCGTGTCTCTCCCCGTGTCTCCCCGTGTCTCTCCGTGTCTCTCCCCGTGTCTCTGTGTGTCTCCCCGTGTCTCTGTGTGTCTCCCCGTGTCTCTCTGTCTCTCCCCGTGTCTCTGAGTCTCTCCCCGTGTCTTCCCGTGTCTGCGTGTCTCTCCCGGTGTCTCTCTCTGAGTCTCTCCCCGTGTCTCCCCGTGTCTTCGTGTGTCTCCTCGTGTCTCTCTCCCCGTGTCTCTCCCCGTGTCTCCCCGTGTCCCCGTCTCTCCCCGTGTCTCCCCGTGTCTCCCCGTGTCTCTCTCCCCGTATCTCTCCCCGTGTCTCTCCCCGTGTCTCTCTCCCCGTGTCTCTCCCCGTGTCTCTCCCCGTGTCTCTCTCCCCGTGTCTCTCTCTCTCCCGGTGTCTCTCCCCGTCTCTCTCCCCATGTCTCCCTGTGTCTCCGTGTCTCTCCCCGTGTCTCTCCCCGTGTCTCTCTCTCTCCCGGTGTCTCTCCCCGTCTCTCTCCCCGTGTCTCCCTGTGTCTCCGTGTCTCTCCCCGTGTCTCTCCCTCACCAGCCTTGGTGACAGCTGCAGGCTCCGGTAACCGCGTCGCAGACTCCGAAGTTGCAGGTGCAGGACTCCTGGCAGCGCTCCCCTCGTGTCTCTCCCCGTGTCTCTCCCCGTGTCTCCGTGTGTCTCCCCGTCTCCCCGTGTCTCTCCCCGTGTCTCTCCCCGTGTCTCTCCCCGTGTCTCCGTGTCTCTCCCCATCTCTCCCCGTGTCTATCTCCGTGTCTCTCCCCGTGTCTCTCCCCGTGTCTCCCCGTCTCTCCCCGTGTCTCCGTGTCTCTCCCTGTGTCTCCGTGTGTCTCTGTGTCTCCCCGTGTCTCTGTGTGTCTCCCCATCTCCCCGTGTCTCTCCCCATGTCCCCGTGTCTCCCCGTGTCCCCGTGTCTCTCCCCTTCTCTCCCCGTATCTCCGTGTCTCTCCCCATCTCTCCCCGTGTCTCTCTCTCCCCGTGTCTCTCTCTGTGTCTCCCTCACCAGCCTTGGTGACAGCTGCAGGCGCCTGTAGCCGCGTCGCAGACTCCGAAGTTGCAGGCACAGGCCTCCTGGCAGCGCTCCCCCCAGCGAGCCGGTGCGCAGGTGCAGGCGCCCGTGAGGGCGTCGCAGGTTCCGTGCGGGTGGCACAGGCACTGGCGCTTGCACTCGGGACCCCAGTACTGGCTGGGGCACTCTGTGGGGGTGAGGGGGGTGGTGGGGGTGGTGGTGAGGGTGGTGGGGGGTGGTGGGTAGTGGGGGTGGTGGGGGGGGGTAGTGGGGGTGGTGGTGGGGGTAGTGGTGGAGGGGGTGGTGGTGGTGGTGGTGGGGGGGGTGGTGGGGGTGGTGGTGGTGGGGGGGGTGGTGGGGGTGGTGGTGGGAGTGGTGGTGGTGGGGTTGGTGGAGGGGGTAATATGGGGTGGGGGGGGTGGTGGTGGTGGTGGGGGTGGTGGGGGTGGTGGGGGTGATGGTGGTGGGGGTGAGGGTGGTAGTGGTGGTTGGGGGTGGTGGGGGTGGTGGTGGTGGTGGTGGTGAGGGTGGTGGGGAGGAGATGGTGATGGTGGTGGTGGGGGTGGGGGTGGTGGGGGTGGTGGGGGTGAGGGTGAGGGTGGTAGTGGTGGTTGGGGGTGGTGGGGGGTGGTGGGGGGGGGTGGTGGTGGAGATGGTGGGGGTGGTGGTGGTGGTGGGGGGGTGGTGGGGATGGTGGGGTGGTGGTGGTGGTAAGGGTGGTTGGGGTTGGGGATGGTGGGGGTGGTGAAGGGGGTGGTGGGGGTGGAGAGGGGGGTGGGGGGGGGTGGTGGTGGGAGTAGTGGGGGTGGTGGTGGGGGGGGGGTGATGGTGGTGGGGGTGGTGGTGAGGGTGGTGGTGGTGGTGCGGGGATGGTGGTGGTAAAGGTGGTGGTGGGTGGTGGGGGTGGTGGGGGGGTGGTGGTGGGTGGTGGGGGGGGTGGTGGGGGTGGTGGTGGGGGGGGGTGATGGTGGTGGGGGTGGTGGCGGTGGGGGTGGGGGGGTGGGGGGTGGTGGTAAAGGTGGGGGTGGTGGGGGGGATAGTGGTGGTGGTGGGGGGGGGTGGGGAGGGTAGTGGTGGTGGTGGGTGGTGGTGGTGGGTGGGGTGGTGGCGGTGGTAGTGAGGGTAGTGGGGGTGGTGAGAGTGGTGGTGGTGGGAGTGGTGGTGAGGGTGGTAGGGGTGGTGGTGGTGGTGGTGGGGGGGGTGGTGGTGGTGGTGGTGGGGGGGGGTGCGTGTGTGCACGCGCGCACGGACACAGAGAGAGATGGTCCCGTGACCTCCTCCTCCTGCACCTAGCCTGGCACAGCAGTCAACCCATGGCACCTGATGGGTCTGTCACGTGACCTCCTCCTCCTGCACCTAGCCTGGCACAGCAGTCAACCCACGGCACCTGCAGGGTCTGTCCCGTGACTTCCACCTGCACCTAGCCTGGCACAGCAGTCAACCCATGGCACCTGCAGGGTCTGTCCCGTGACTTCCACCTGCACCTAGCCTGGCACAGCAGTCAACCCATGGCACCTGCAGGGTTTGTCACGTGACCTCCTCCTGCACCTAGCCTGGCACAGCAGTCAACCCATGGCACCTGCAGGGTCTGTCCCGTGACTTCCACCTGCACCTAGCCTGGCACAGCAGTCAACCCATGGCACCTGCAGGGTTTGTCACGTGACCTCCTCCTGCACCTAGCCTGGCACAGCAGTCAACCCATGGCAGCTTGGTTTGTCACGTGACCTCCTGCAAGCAGCGAGCCTTCAACACTTCACGTGGCTTCAAAGTGCACCTAGCCTGGCACCGTGGTGACGACACCGTCACTTAGTGGTGAATGACGGATGTTGTTGTATCTGTATCTCTGTGTATGAGTGTCTGTGTGTGTCACATGTGTGTCTGTATGTGTCACATGTGTGTCTGTGTGTGTCACACACTCGTGTATGTCTGTATGTGTCACATGAGTGTCTGTGTGTGTCACATGAGTGTCTGTGTGTGTCACACACTGATGTAGGTGTGTCTGTATGTATGTGTCACGTGTCTGTGTGTGTCACATGAATGTCTGT